TCTCTACTTTTCCAGAGAAAAGGTTCTAAACTCTAATTTGTTTTATATGGATAGAAGAACAACTTCATCCCAAGTCCTAGGGGAAAGTGACACACTTGTCTTCAGCATGAGGAAAAATGTCTCACTAAAATAAGAAATTCAGAACTTGAACCAGCTGAGTGATTTTCTTTTATGGTAAGTTAATAATAGGTCTGTGGTTCTCAATTGTTCATGTTTATCAGAACCTGCTGGCAGTCCTGTTCAAACAAACAGTGAGGCCTCAACTCTAGATTTTGTGATTCAGCATATTTGAAATGGGGCCTGAGAGTTTATATCTCTGATAAGTTCTTAGGATATGGAGATGGGGGTGGTCCATTGACGCACCTTGAAAACAGCTGCATTAGATAGTTCACAGGTAAAGATGCTGTGAGGACAAATAAACTGTGTACAAGGGATTTATGATCTCGAAGAAAATGTCTTTGCAAAATGACAGAGATGAGTGTTCTTGATGAAATGCTCAGTAGGATGGACAATTCTGGCAATGCTCTGCTGAGGACTCAGGAAAATATGTGCCTTCCTGTGCCTCCCAGTAGACTGTAGTTATTAAACATTGCTTTGGGAAGTTTCTCTGCCATTGTTTCTCTATATTCCAGAATCCTTGGTATAGAAAGCAAATCTTGAGAAAACATTTATATAATGTATTGAACTCACACTAGCCACAAGAAGAAAATCCACATGAAAATTGAAAATGACAAAACAACAAGATTTATGCACTACAAAGTTATCACGGGGTAGGATCTGAACTGACTGCATTTTGAATTTCTTTCAATAATTATTTAAAATCTACATTTACAATTTATTTGATATGATCCTATATAGGCTTTTCTTTTGGAATGGTTTATCTATTTCTTATTTGGTGTGTCCCATTATAATGAAGCTAGATCTTACATTAATGTCACAAAAAAAAATCTACCTTTTGCTGAGAAGGATCCTCAATTATATTAGAAAAGAAATTAAAATCTCTAAGAAGACCAAAATAAAGGATGAAAGATGTTTTAATAAGAACTCGAGGCTTATGTTATGGGGAGAAACAAGTCCTATAACGCTATAGACTTGAGTTCAAGCTGCAGTTCCCAGTTTCTTAACTGTGTAACTGGAGTATGTGCTCAGCTATGAGTCAACTTACTTGCCATCACAGTGATTTATAGGAAACTTCTGATAAAATGACTTGCACACAGTCTATGATCTATACTTTTCCCTTTCCCCTAATGTTCTCACAACTCTGGTAAGCTAACCTGTGATATGGAATGATGGGGGGAAATGCCCAGGGGCTTACCACATATCTTCTTCAATAGAGTTCAGGCCAAATTTTGTCTATTTCTACTAAATATAAAGTAATTTTTCAAACTCCAGATGAGATGGACATAAAATTGCATTCTTTCTGTTTCTTTAGCAATAGGTGACTTTCCAATATCACTCCTTCTCTGAAAAGAACTATTCTTGAGGAAGAATTTTAAAATCTTACAGCATTTAAAAATAATCAGGGACAGAAGAAGTAAAAAAAGAGAATAAAATGAAAAAGTCCCTAATAATATTATATCAGATAGTGATTAGAAATTTCTTTGACCCTAAATGGAGAAAAGTTGAGAGTAAATGAGAAGTTAAAGTCTTTGCATCCTCTAGAGTGCTGAGAACTTGCACATAAATTCTCACTTAATATTCAATAGGAAAGAATAAAAGTAAATTATATATTTTTTCCATCTAGAGATTTACACTGTTCATTTCTGAACTTCGAATCATGGTCACATAACAAGATTATTTTTTTTTTATTTTTTATTTTTTGGAAGCTCAACTCATCAGCCACTGTAATAGTCTTTTTCTTTTTATTATTTGATAGTGAGGAGTTTGGAAAATAGGAGAAAAAAAATGAGACTGTCTTTTCATTTGTTACTGTCCAAATCAAGTCATCTTACTTATGACCTAGATGACTTCCTCAACAATAATATCTGAGGATGCAATTTTATAAGCCTAAAGCCTACCCAATCACTTTAATGAACTTCCACCAAGTCTGAAAAAGAAAATGCCATTTATAACTAATTTAATGATTAGAGATAAAGTTGTCTTGATTTCTCTCCTAAACTCCCTGGCCTAGCAGCCACCATTAGCTTCAACCCCCTTTATATAATGGGAAAAAAACTGAATTAAACTGTAGAGCCTTGAGCCATTATAATGGTTAAATTATATTTCTCTACTTTTTATGCCATGTATCTATATTTCTGCTATATAATAGCAAAGGAACTTAGAAAAGGGACAGCTAATAAATGAAGGAATATTGTAAGATAATAACTACAATTCTCTTTAAAGGTTATCTATAGATGAGAAAGTATAATGCACTATTAATACTGCTTGTCATTTTATAACTGGGCATCATTTCCTTATAGAAATGTACCCCAGATGTTACTTATTCTCTCTCCCACACACACACACACAAAGATTAACATCTGACAAAGTATTAATCTTGAGAAATTCTTTGCCTTGTAATGAATTTTTAAAATGAAAAAAATATATTCTGAATGAGGAAAAATGTTCTCTTGCAAGTTGCCAAGGATTATGTCATTTCTTTCTCTTTGGTTTTCTCTGGTCGTCCAATCTCTGAAAAATATTTGTCAGAGGCTTTCATCATAAAACAAGATCAAATAATATCTTGCCTTTGCCATTAGTATAAATGAGAGTCAAATGAATATATTAATTTTAATAATATATAAAGAATATTATTAAACATTCTAAAAAATATATTTGGTATCTGAATATTAATGCTTTGTTATTTGCATATTATTTAATATAGCATATTAATACATATATATTCATGTACTAATTAATAAGTATTGTAATTTACAGCTAATGTTTTATTAACATTAAACATTATATTATTTATTATTATTTTTTTAGCATTGGATAGTTAGTTATTTCTATGATGTAAAATAATGCTCCATGAACATTCTGGTAGGTCGAGTTTTATGGATATCAGTAATTATGTCTTCTTACAATTGTACTTTGAATATTGCAATCTGGTTCAGAGTGGTTACCAGTAAACACATATACAGTCTTACTAAATTGTGTAAATAATACATATTCTTGAGACAATAGTCAAAAAACTACCTTTTTCATATTTGATACAAAGACCATATATGATACAGATACTTCAAAGAACTATAAATCCTCACTGAGAATGCTTAGGTTGACTTGAAACTTAATAAAGAGTTGGTTTCTTTCATGTGTTTAATATTCCATGTCCTGGTTACTTCGTGATATATGCAGATTACTTCTTGGTATCTATCTTCATGTGCCTCAGGCATATCTGCCTTCCAAAGAATCACACCTCTCTTGAGAAACTTCTTTCCTCCCTTTACTTATTTTTACATTTCTAACACAATTGTCTATTTTCATCAGGGACTGATTCTGTGCTTTATTAGCCAGAATACTTATGATAAGTAGTTAATTAAGATGTTACTATGTGACCAGCACTGTGATGTACACTATGGGAAAATACTGAATTAGCATAAGTCCTGTTTCATTTGAAGATATGGTGATTTCTGTCATTAACTGACATGTGTTATGCAAACAGGAAGAGCCCTAAAAGCAACTCAGGGTTCAGGTTAAGAAACAAGATGACACAGTATAGGCTAAAGTAATTGGGAACTTTTCATGGAAGGATTGGGACTTGAAAAAGCTGTGAAAAATTAGTGAAATTTGAAGGAAGAAAGAGAAAGTCACGTCTGGTCAAAGGAAGAACATAAGGAAAGGTATCACAAAACCCATCCTTATAGATTTAAGACATTCTGTCAGGGAACAGTAGGGAAGTGTTAGTCAAAGTTTGAAAAGTCAAAAGGAAAAAAATGAGGCAGGAGGAAGGGGTTATATGATGAAATACCTTCCAATGACTCTAATATGCCAACGCAGGGTTCCTCCAAAGTTTGCATTTCGTGGAACACATAGAAAATAGCATTTATACAACATAGTGAGTAAAGTGATGAAGTTATAAATGGTTGCATGTGATTATCCTGGGGGTTGCAGCTACTCAGGTGCAGCCCAGCCTGCCCCCAAAGACAGAAGGAATGAATCATCTCAGCAAATCTAACCCTCAGATCAGGGGAAGTCTGTGTGAAAGGTCTGGATATGCTAAATATCCTAAGGTCATGACTAACTTGTGTTCCTGTTCTCAAGGAACAAACTTTAATAAAACAGAGAACTGGTGAATAAAATTGTAGCCCCAAAGGAAATCTCTGATAGATGACCAATATTTTGGTCGATTGAAATTTTAGCAATATTCAAATCAGTATAGAGTCTTTAAAGACCTATGCCCCGTCTATGTAACTTATAGTCAACTGGCTTTGTAAGTAGGCAATGATATAGGCATAGATAAATGGAATGACTGGTTAAAGTAATCTAAAATCTAAAAATATATAAGTAAAATATGTGTTCATGTCAGGGTCATGTCAGGGTCACCAATAGCTCAATCAATAGAATACAGTTTATTCTTCCATTATATAAAATCTAGCTAATGTTTTAGTTGTCTGTGTCAACACCATGTGGAGTTCCATAATAAAGTTAAATGGGAATATGTATAATCTTACATCTTAATCCCTCATTTTAAATTTATGTAAAGGAGAACCAGTGAAGCGAAGCAATCAATTTAAAATACCTTAGGGAATTGAAAACCTAAGTCAGGGCTAGAACACAAGTTTCTTCACAACCAGCCCATGGCTCTTGATAGGATACCACACTGACTCAGTGGCAATTTTATATGGATATTAGAATACAATCTAGTTAGGTCCTAAGAGTGCCAAGTCATCACATCTGGAAGATTCAGGTGGAGCCAGTATCCCTCCAATCCTCTATCTTTATCAGATGCTAAAAAAATGAAAGCAAAATGTATCAGCTATTACTGTGTAACAAACCTAACACAACATCAATAGTTAAAACAACAACTATTTATTTACATTATGATTTTGGGTGTTGGCAACTTGGATGGAGCTCAGACGAGTGTTTCTTCTGATCCTAGCTGTTCTCACCCATGTGTCTATGATCTGGCATTGGGTTAGCTGGAGGCTGGTTGGTCTAAGATGACTTCAGCTGGGATGGCTTATCTCTGTTCCATATGATCTTTCATCCTTCACTAGGCTAGACAGAATTTGACAGGTAACTTGGTGACAAGGCAGAATTCAAAGAGAGACAGAAGAGAAACAGACAAGGCCTCTTGTGGCCTATGCACATAATTAGGATAGTATCACTTCTACTACATTTTATTGACTACAGCAAGTCATAAACCTAGCCTACATGCAAAAGGTAGATAACAAAATCCACACCTTGATGAGAGGAGCTGCAAGTCAGCTTGAGAAAAAAACTAGGGCCTGTTTGCAAACAATACTACAGAGAGGAGGGGTTTTCATCAATATTCTTACTGCATTTACAATATAATAAATAACTAAATTGAATGGGGCACTTGGCTTATTCAGTCAGAAGAGCACGTGACTCTATCTCAGGGTTGTGAGTTTGAGCCCCATGTTGGGTGTAGAGATTATTTAAAAAATAAGTAAATAAATGAACTTAAAACATGTATTTTAACTTAACTGAAGCTAAGTCAGTACTTTGAGTATATAGTAACCCAAGTCTTTTAGCAGTAGAGTCCTTATCCTTAAATGTGCACTTTTGGGGGGAAAACAAACAGAAAATAAACAGAAAAAAATAAGCAGAAAATAATTTTTAAAAAACTGATTTAAAGAAATGAGCAATAAACCTGAACTAATAAACTGAGAATGTATTACTGCAAGTAAAAGCATGTGAGACCTTGCGTTCCTCCACCAAGCCTGCAAATAAATGTTGGGTTCCTATAGAATTCTGTCCTTGGAATTTTTCTTTTTTCTCTCCATATTTTCAAATTAGACATCATCAGCCCTATCATCTTAAATATCACAAGTATGCGGATGGCTATCAAATTATTTTGCCCATTCACAGCTTATATCCAAAACCAGATTTATAAGCAATAGCTTACTGCCTGTGTCCATAACAACTCAATTTGACCTTGCACTAAACTACTGTACAGACCTGATTCTGTAGCAAACAAATAAAATCTTTCCCAAGGTATTTCTTTTCCTCCAGCAAGATTAATTACCCAATGTAAAGGTAAAAACTTTCTTTCCTAAATTCTTCATATTCATCTATTAAATTTATTTGTTTCTATTTACTTCTAAAAATGTACCTCAAATCCAAGCACAGTTTACTAACCTACTGATTAGTTCAATGAGCATTTATTGTTATTTCCAAAAAGTCTCTCACCATCTCCCTGGTTCCTAAATCCCATCCTCCAAGAGTAGCCAGAATAACTTCTTAAAAATGTACAATAGACCATGTCATTTTTCTATCTAAACCCTACTAGTAGTACCCCATTTTATTTACAATAAAACTTGAATCTCTTGCTTACCACAACCTAAATGGTCACACCTAACCTGGACCTGCCTCCATCTCCAACTTCATATTTACCATCCCTTATGGTGTTGCATCTAGGCCTTTTCACATGTTGTTCCTTCCACTTACAAATCTTTCTCTTCCTGCATGACTGCTTTCTCATTGTTTGGGATCCAGTGCAAATAGAATCTCTGAGAGGTCAACCCTAGGCACACTAGGCAGAATCATCCCCCACCCCAATTACTCTACCATATTATGTTCTTTTATTTTTTTAGCAGTGAAAAATAACTGAAATCTCTACTTATTTTCCTAATTCTTTATTGTCTATCTCCCTAGAATGTAATTTCATTATTACAAAGATTCTATTTTGTTTACCACTGTCCTCATAGGGTATGCTTGAAAAATATCCATTAGCCTCTAATATTTTACAAAAACCTACTTACTCAAATATCTAGAGCAAACTCTATTATCAATCCCTACTGATCCCCCTTTCAACACTGACTCAGTGAGAATTTAAAATATCTATTACCAAATCTGTAGTAAAAGAAGTAAATCTAGAGGTAGAGAAAATATTGAACTTAAAGGTACTATCTTAAATTGTAAAATTTATCTATTCTAAAGTTTGTTGCTACTGTTGTTTTTTCAAACCTAGGTAGAAATTAAATCTTTCATATCTCTTGGAATCATCATTCCTACCTCTTTTCTCACATTTCTTTTAAAATGACCATAAATTGTTATAAATACATGGATTAATTTCCATGAATAAATATGCAGATACTTGGCAGAACAATTAGAGAAATTTATACGTCCAACTAAGCTAAACATTATTCTAAATTCATGTTATTTTGGTATTATGAATATCTTGTCTAAAATAACATTAATGTTAATTTTTCTAGGACCATGGATGTAAATCTGAATATCCAGGAAACCAAGGAAAGGGAAGGAATGATAGTAAATAATCCAATGTGATTCTTTTTTAAACTCAAAATTTCCAAAAACATACAGCAGTCTCATTTGTAACTGAATTGCATAGATTATAAATTTTTCAGATGAAAATTAACTTTAGTAAAATATTTTTATCTACTTTAAATGTCTTAAGTGTCTAAATATAAAATAAAACACTACAGGTATTAGCTAATTCTTTATTCGGTGTGGCATGAAAAATTTAATACCCAAAGTATTTTCTCCTCTATAAATTACTGAATGGAATAGTTCAGATAGTGCTATTATTTTTGTTCATTTGAAAATTCATACTTTACAGATCAGGACTGGGATTGTTTTTTTCTTATAAACAGCTAAAGGAAATAGTAGGTTTATATTTGACAGTGTCTGAATCTGAATAAGTTTAAATACTTGTCAAGATAAGACATGGCAATGCTTTCTGTCTTGTGACTATTTTAACCTGTGAGATTTACTGCAGAATCTATAAAGTAGTTTGGATTTCCTCAAGCTTTGCTTTCATTATCTGTCTGATATCATTATACCTTTTTTCCTGTTTAGATACAAAACCATGCTACAATTCTCTGATATAATGAAAAAAGAAATCTAGTAATACTGAACTTAGTGTCTCAGTTCCCAAGATTGGCACATTTCAGAGTTAACCAAATCCATTTTGTCAATAAGATGCCAAGCTGTGTACCATGGTGAGCATATTAAAGAGGGTAATTCTGCAGAAAATGCAACTGTAATGACTTTAAAAAATAATACCAAAACAATTCTGAAACAGAAAACAGGGAAGAGGCAAACTGTTAAAAAAAAAAAAAAAAGCCAGAAAAGATATTCTTCTATAAAAGAAAGGAAGGAATTCCATTAATAATCATGGTGTAGATACAAGATATGAATTTAACCTACAGCCTCAAACAACTAGAAAACTGGAGAGAACATATCAATCAAGTATTCTCAGACACTGGACAATGGATATAAATGACTTATGATACCTGAGAGAAGGGAATTAAGATGAATACTATAATTGTTTCAGTTTATCATGTGGCCTAAAAGCAGTTTCCAGACTGTAGGGAAGAGATGGGACTCAAACAGAACCCAGCAGCCTCACTATGTTCAGGAGACAGAAATGAATGTTCATAGAAGTAGAAGCAACCAGAATTAACAGGGCCCAGTGCTAGAGAAAAGAGAACTTCCCAGCAAATTCTGTGGATACACAGAGGAGTCCCTCCATGTCTTTATTTATTTTTTTTTTTGAAGACTGATTAAGATTTATTTCCATAGAGACTTATGCAAATATTGACAGTATTTTTCACACAAGAGCTTTTTTTTTCCCCCTCTTATTTCCCTCACACACTTAATATGCCTATGGAGACATATTTTTCTGGTAAAAATAAGGAGATTATCATTTCTCTTTTCCTCTCCATTTTTTTGCTAATACTAAATGAGAATTTACAAGTTTTATCAGCAGATAGATTGCTCAAACATGACTGTGATCTGTGGTAGATTAATTTTTGTGTACCTCAGAGTATCTAGTAAAATGTTTTGCATATAATTATTATTGAGAAATACCAAACAAATGAAGATTTTTACAATTTGAGTTAATAAGTTTTGTTGAATTTAACAACAATTTTGTAATTTGGTTTAGTTACTGAGTTGATCCATGTCTTTAAATGAGTAATGATCTGTGGACACGTGAGAGGAACCTAGCATGAATAATCTTTGCTTCTCCCAAGCTTCCTATCTTCTGATGCATCAGGTAGAGTACTCAGAACATAGTGTCTTATATTTGGAGCTTAATTAGTCCTCGAATAAAACCTAGTCTGGACCCACCCCAAAAGAACTAAAAACCATGTCTCAAAAGGATCAAACTGAACCCAAATAATTTAACTGTCTGCCAGGACAAAAGTCAAATGCTAATGAAAAGATAAAACACAATCTAAAATTCAGCAGTTTAAAATTTACAATGTCCAGCATCCATTGAAGAAATTGGGAGGCACATGGGAAAGCAGGATATTTTGACCTAACCAGGAAAATATGACCCAGTAGACACAGAGAGAAACAGTGGGGAAAAATGGAATTATTAGATAGGGATATTAACACCACTGTTATAAAAGTGCTCCATTGTTTTTAGAAGGTAGAGGAAAACAAGTATGATGAGAAAAATAGAAAATATTCTTTAAAGATCTACCTACGACATCTAAAGATTTAAAAAAAATACAATATATGAAATGAAAAATATACTAGATATGATCAATAACAGATCAGATTCTTTGAAAGAGAAAAATCAGGGAACTTGAAGATGCAATTGAAGAAGCAATAGAAACCATCCAAAATAAAGCATGGAGAGAAAATAAACTGGAAGAGCATCAATGACCTATGATATAATATCAAGCATTCCAACATACATGCAACTGGAATGTCTGACAGAGAAGAGTGGGCCAAAAAGATTTGAATAAGTAATAACCAAATATTTCCAAGGGTATCAAAAAAACCTAAACAGAAAATATAAAAAATACCATGCCAAGGAACAGCAAAATCAAATAGTTGAAAACCTTTGATAAAGAGAAAAACTTAAAAAAAAAGCCATGGAAAATAAAACAATTTTTCTAGAAACCATAAATCTTGCTTTTGAGACGAGGTAGCATAATAATCACAAGTGTCTTTTGGTTTCCAAATAAATAAAAATTCTTGAGGCAAATGAAGGATAGCAGATTATGTCACTAAAAAATATGCCACTTTGGCATAAGGATTATTTTGAGCTGAGGCAGATG